CTGGAGGGGATGTGGACAGAAGGGAACCTTACTGCATTGTTGGTGGGAGTGTAAACTTGTTCAACCACTTTGGAAAGTAGTATGGAGGTTCCTCAAAAACTTCACATAGAGCTCCCCTATGACCCAGCAATCCCACTTTTGGGCATTTACCCAAATGATCACAAACAAGACCATACTAAAGCTTCCTGTACGACTATGTTTATTGCAGCCTTATTTACCATAGCTAAGATATGGAACCAATCCAGATGCCCCTCAGTAGATGAATGGATCAAGAAAATGTAGTATATATACACAATGGAATACTATGCCTCCATCAGATAGAATGACATTGCCCCATTTGTTAGGAAATGGAAAGGCTTGGAAAAAATCATATTAAGTGAAGTAAGCCAGGCCCAAAGAAACACAGGTCCCATGGTTTCCCTTATTTGCAATAACCAATATATGTTTGAGACAAGCAGAAAAGGTCAGATAAATTGACGTTAGGTGAAACAAACCCCAAGATAAGTATTCAAATGTTTTTTCTTTCATGCGATTGTTTCTAACACATTTATAAGATGATTTCTTTGTTGCTTTATATGTCCCTCCCCCACGGTATAACCCTTGCTTTCACTGTATTTGATGTTGGTATAATTTGTGGAGGGGAAGGTCAAAAAAAATCATTTAAATAGGGATACAGGTGGGCCCATTGCAACAATGAGATGTACAAGTCGTGGGGAGTGTTGGAGGGGGGAGCAAGGTAGGGGGAGATAGGATGGGATGGGAAGGGGAAACGAAGGAAGAGGCAACAATGCTTGAGAAGAAATGCATTCATTATCTTGCCCATGTAATTGTAACCCCTCTGTAAGCTGTTTTCACAAAAAAGATGAAAGTATATTTAATTCAGTGTACTTTTATACATATTATATTAAGTATATAATTCATCAAATGAAATAATGGGAAAATGCATTTTGAAAATATTACTGACATATTTTGACAGCCAAGCCAAAAATAGAAGTATATTTTATAAATTTTGTCCACTGAACTTTTGAGAATTTTATGTGGAAGCACTTCTTCTATTAGTTCAATTTTTGTCATAGTTTATTCCTAATACTTCTAAATTTTTCACAAGCTTGGAGAAACATGAAAGATAATGCTTATTGAATTTAGAGTTAATTTTCGTGTAATAAATGAAAAAATGTGACTTCTTGAAAATTTCAAATTAATTTTTGTAGCTTATAACCTGTTTTATTGAACAGTGACAGTATAGATGCAACAATACCACTTGTGACTGTGAATGAGCTGCTCAGTCTTTCTAGCTCTGTTGCCTTATCTGTAAAATGCAGATTAAATCCACAACCTACAAGTACATAAAATACTTGTTATATTTCAGATATTTAGAACAGTGTCTGACACAATCTCAGGATCCTCATTTAGTTTCTGATTTAATGGTAGACTGTAATGCAATAGAAGATGTTTCATTAAAAGCTTTACTTCCACATTTCCTACTTACCTATGACCTTCAGAAACAAAATTTCTATATAGTAATATCATTCATAGAGTAAGAATCTGAAAATGTAGAGAAAAAAATCTTCGTTCTAGCTGTGTAATGTTAATAGTAGTTTTATAGTTTTATAGATATATACAGCCTTCTTCTAACATATAGTTTAGAGATACAATGTAAACTTTTAGGTTTCACAGGGGGAGGGAGGAAAAAGTCTGTGTTCATCATAAAGATGGATTAAAACATTTTCTTTCAGGATATTTCTCATGATTAAATTGGAGACATTTATTATTCATGCTTCATAACATTGCAAAGGAAGAATAAATCTAAGAGGTAATCTAGAAATTTGGATCTTCACTGTAAGCCAAATATTATGTGATTTACCAATCTATGGAGATAACGCAATCAACTACTAAGTATCAAGATATATTTTTGTTGTGTTTGGTAAGAACAGCATGTATTCTTGCTCATCAAAAACTTTAGCTGAGAGAACTGTCTCCTAAAAGAACAAATTGTGCTTCTAAGACGGGTTGTTTATTCCTGTACAGAAATGAAATGATAGCTTTTTATTTCTTTTAATGTATTTGAACATATTTTGAGATGACAAAATAGAGACATATGGAAGCATAACATTATATAGAATGCAGCAATGGAAATTCAGTTCCACACTCATATTTCAGCATTAAAGAAAAAGCAGGTTGTAATGTGTTCCATAAAAGTGGGTTTTCCCCCTAAATCTCTGCAGACATTCCCTTTCTTGACTTTTGCTTGACCTTGAATTTATCTTTTGGGGGCTGGGAAGGTGGCTCAGTGGGAGTGCTTGCCTTGCATGCATGAGGCCCTGGGTTCGATTCCCCAGCACCACATAAGCAAAATAAAAAGGAAAAAAGCCGTAAGTGGCACTGTGGCTCAAGTGGTAGAGCGCTAGCCTTGAGCTGAAGATCTGAGGGATAGCACCCAGGCCCAGAGTTGAGGCCCACGACCAGACCCCCCCAAAAAATATTATCTTTTGGTGCTGCTTCAATAGACCTATTATTGGATAGAGGTCAGTCTTTTATTTTTTTTCAGTAAATTTCCTTAATTTCCCAGGTTTCATTAACTTCTGTGTTACCATATGAAACTGGGAATCTGTGCACTTGAATACATAAGGGTAAATGGTGTCAGCAAAGTGATGAAAAAGCCTATAGAAAATATTCACCATACCCATGTTATGGAAACATGTCCTAAAATGGGCCAAGAAAATAAGATAGGTGGATAGACAGATAAACAGATAGATAGATAGATAGATAGATAGATAGATAGATAGATAGATAGATAGATAATAGATAGATAGATAGATATAGAGATATATTCTTTTCACTCATTCATTAGGAAGAATAATATTGTGTCTTTGTAGGGAACTTTATGGACTTAGAAAATTATGTTAAGTGAAGTCAAACTCATATGTGAAAGTTAGATCTAAATCATAAACATATATGAAAAGAATGTATAGTGTTGTATGCACATGTGGATATACACAAACATGTTTACTATAGTATGTTGTAGGCATAAACCAGAACAGCACTGGTATAAATGTTACCATGAAACCTAATAATGAATTAAAGTTAACGCATTTATAGACAAACGCTTTGCCAACTCTCATAAACAAGCACTTGAAATTATCTCAACACAAGTTCTCCCAGCAACACTAAGAGGTACAGATAGTAGTATTTCATTTTACACAAGGAAGAAAAATAACTGGCCCAGGTTACACAACTAAGAATTGGCAGGCTTAGGAATGAAATGCAACTCCCAAACCCCATGCCCTAAAACATGACCCACCACAGTTTGAAATTCCTTGTGAAGCCTCCCATTGAAGCCAGATAAGCTTCTGCTGTATTATAACTGAAACAACACAGCACAATGTTTCCAATGCTTTGCTCTCTCTGTTCATATACCCACTTCTCTGCACCAGAAAATTGCTTGGTACTAGAAATATGAAGTTGCATGTCAAAGCACCCAATAAAGAGTTTTAGTCTAGAGTAGAGCTCAGCCAGTCATAGCTGATAGGCCAAATCCTGCTATCCACTATTTTTTATAAAGAATTTTTTGTTAAGGTATACCATGGCTATAGTGTCATATACTATCTATGAGAATCTTCATACCATAACATTTAGAGCGGAGTAGCTTTGACTGCAAAGCCTAAATTACTACCTGGAACATTTCCCAAACCCTGCTTTAGACAAAAAGACAAGCAAATCATCAGTCCTGGCCCAGTGGTGTGTGAGTTATGGTGCCCCATATACCATGAGAATACATGAAAAAAATCTTGAACAAGTTAAAGGTAAGCAGATGCTTTCTAGACACCAGAATATACGCGGTAATTTGGAAGGCTGAGTATAGTTAACTAGACAAAGAAAAAGAACCAAACTTGTCAGTAAGAATCAAACAGAAAAGCTAAGCAGTGGTCCAAGGAACTAAGATAATGGCCACAGGAATACGGGGTATATAAGTTTAACTGATGCAGATTGGTTCTAGTTCTATATGTCTTTTGTTGCCAGTCCTGGTGCTTGAATTCAAGGCTTAAGTGCTATCCCTGAGCTTTTTTTTGCTCAAGACTAGAACTCTACCATTTGAGTCAGCTCTACTTCCTGAATTCTTTGGTAGTTTATTGGAGATGTGGGCTGACTTAGAATCAAAATCCTCATATTTCAGCCTCTTGAATAGATAGGATTACAGGCATTAGCCATCAGTGTCCAGCAGTTCTATATAAAATATAATAAAAATGTAATAAAATGTAATAAAAATTAATAAAAATTAATTTAATAATAAATAATAAATAAAAATGTGGACAATATTTTCCTAATAGTAGTTCTTAATTGGAGTTAACTATAAGAATTATGATGTTTTTCCCCTACCTATTCCTCTAGACTGGGAAGACAAAAAGTTATTACCAATGGTAGACAACTGAAATGACAGCCCTAGGGAGATAGAGAGGCAGCAGGGTCCAGATCACTCCAGATCAGTCTAGATTACATACGAGTTTTGAGGCCAGCCTTGACTAACCGGTGGGACTTCCTCTAAAACAAAACAAAAGCATCACAACAAAAAATCCCTAGCACTTGTTTATTGTTTCTGGTTGTATGGATGGAGGTGATTATTAGCAACATTATTTTACAAACGAGAATTAGTCACAATGTACTATACCTGGAAAATTCATAGGCAGTTCAAAGGTTTTTGGAGACTGGTCACCTTCAATATTCTCACAAATTTCAGCTAAGATCTTCTTAATTTTTAGACCAGTGATTTTGATCACTTCGCCAGTTGACAAACAGCATTCATTGCCAAACATTTCATAAATGGAGCCTACAAAGAAAGAAAATTGAGAAAGAAAGGAATGAAACAATGAAGAAGGAAATGGAGTCAGAGGTTTTTACTCTGTTCCTCTATTACCGATCTACTACAGTAAGTAGAAATTTAATCATGCCTTCCAAATTGTACACTATGTACTAGGAAACATTAGATTTTTACTTCATTGAGTGGGTAAAGTATAAGCAATCATATTTTTATATTATTATAAATTATATTTATATCTCCTTAGCAACTGGCTCATCTGTCCAAGGTCAAACTACAAATATGTTTTTCACTGCTGGGATTTATGATCTGCTTTTGCTGGGCCAAAGAATTAGACTCATGAGTCAACAATGATCTAAGTAAATACTGCAAAAAAGGTTTTAATACAATCCAAGCTTCAACGACAGAGAGGTTTACATACCAGGCTATATATGAGGAACATCATATTTACTTGCTAGATGTGTCTGTTCCTTATTATGAAATAAGATTTTGCTCACTTTGACTGCTGTTCTTCTATAAACTGTAACAACTCTCTATACCTTCATGGCAATAGATGGCAGACCAGCCCAGAAAACAGAAACACTTTATTGTAGTTGTTAAGAATTTTGATCTCTGGGGCTGGGAAAGTGGCTCAGTGGTAGAGCACTTGCCTTGCATGCATGAGGCCCTGGGTTCGATTCTTCAGCACCACATAAGCAAAAAGAAAAAAGCCAGAAGTGGTGCTGTGGTTCAAGTGGTAGAGCACTAGCCTCGAGCTGAAGAGCTGAGGGACAGCGCTCAGGCCCAGAGTTCAGGCCCCATGACTGGACCCCCCCCCAAAAAAAAAAGAATTTCAATCTCCACTTGACAAACCATGTGCACAAACCTTTTATCCTAGATGCCAATGTTCTATTTTCCATCACTTATATTACTTTTTATCCCCTGTGGGTAGGCTAATACAAAGTGAAATAACTAGAAAGTAAATAATAAGAAAAAAGAGAGGTAATAGCCTTGGACAATTCTACTGCTGATAAAAAGGGAATATCCTGCTGGACACCAATGGCTCACACCTCAAATCCTAGCTACTTAGAAGGTTGAGATCTGAGGATCATGATTCAAAGCCACCTCAGGCAGAAAAGTCCCTGTGAGACTCTTATCTCCAATTAACCACTCAAAAATGGAAGTGGCACTGTGGCTCAAAGTGTGTTACAAAGAGGCTCAGGGACAGTGTCCAGGCAGCAAGTCGCCCCACAATTGACAAATAAAAAAGGAAAGAAAGAAATTGTGAATACACACAAAAAGTCATTCTAAATCAGAAGCATCTTCAAAGTAAGAGCACATACATTTCCAGTTTTGAAAGTCAAGAAACCTATCAACTTAATAAGAGGTCATTTGTACACTTGACACTCACTGCCTAAAGTGTGGTCCACTGTTTCATCAGGGAGCTTGTTAGTGTCTTGGCTAGCCCCAGGCCTGCTGAGTCAGAACCTGCATTGTTAACAAGGTCCCCAGATGATTTGTAAGTATATTAAAGGTTTGTAAAGCATTGGTCTAAGCAATAAATTTATAAGTGAAATAGTCTGCTTTTAGATTGTTGTCAAACTAACCACAGAGAAAGCCTACTGTCACTGAATAGGGAAAGGGTGGGTTTTTAACTGAGAGGTGGTGTCATGAGTTTTCTGATCACATGAAACGAAATATAATTTAACCCAGACCCTTTCAGTTGATATTTGTTGGGCTTCATTTCGAGGCAATGAATGTCCAGTTGTGGATGTGATGTAGGCCCAACTGTCTGACATGGGGATTCCATCTTTTTCACAAAGCTTTAGTTGGAATTAAAAATGACAATATAAAGGCCAGGATTGGTGGCACTCACCTGAAATCCCAGATCCTTGGGAAGTGGGGATTGGAAGAGCCAGCTAAGGCAAAAAATAGTTAGCAAGACTCTATTAAAACAAACAAGGTAGTCATGGTAGTTTAATCTTATTATCCCAGTTACATTGAAGACACAGGTAGGAAGAACACAGTCTAATGCTAGTCTGAGCAAAGGCAAAACCCTATCTGAAATAATAACTAAAGCGAAGAAAAAAGGACTGGTGTAACTGTCTAGCAAGTGTGAGGCCCTGAGTTCAAACCCAATCTTAGAAAAGGAAAAAAAAAGTATAGACAAAAGTTTGAGTTTGCACATCAATGCTCTGGGAATAGAAACCAGAGACTTCTATTGCTTCTTTAAGTTTCGTGTCCCTATGAAAAACTATGGGCTCTTCAGTTTTTATCATCTCTTTCCTTTTCCTTCCCTTTTTTCAGCATTTTGTTATTTCCCTTCCCCTCCCCAAATTAGAAAAATGTATATACAAGATGCAGTTCTCTTTCTCTTTTCCTTCCTTTAGTCAGAAAAGGAGAAGAACCGTATGTCAATGCTGGCATTTGAAATTTCTCTTAAAAAGTTTTTTCTAATCAAGGAAGTTACTAACCCACATTTAATAGAGAAGAGTCAATGATGCCCAGTGCTAGACAGGTTTTATATATGATAAAAAAAATGTCCCTCCCCCAGGATATAAACCCTGCTTCACTGTATTTGATGCTGATATAATTTGTGGAGGGGAAGGGAAAAAACAAACTGTTCAAATATGGATACAGGTGGACCCATTACAACAATGAGATGTATAAGACGTTATGTTGAAAAACAAACCTTACAGCTTTGGCGGGGTGGGGGTGGGGAGGTGGAGGGGTGGAGGTAGGGGGTTTGGTGGTAGAGGTGGAGAGGGGAAAGGATGATATAGGGAAACAAAGGAGAAGGCAACAATGCTTGGTAAGAAATGTACTCACTATCTTGCCCATGTAATTGTAACACTCTGTATGGTATTTTCACAATAATAATAAAAAAAAATGTAGAGTGTAGGAAGGGGTGACATTGTCCAAAAAGAAAAGTTCTCTTTACCTAATTTATGAACTGTAACCCCTCTGTACATCACCTTTATAATAATAAAAAATTTAAAAAATAGAGCCAATGTCAAATCCCTGAAAGCAGAAAGATTTTTACACTCTGCTATCGACAATATTATGTCTCATAAAATATACTTTTTTCTTAGTACTAATATACAATGGTGAGATTTATAAATTTCCAATGTTCATAATCTTATAACAAACACATACTTGTAATTGTTTTTTAAATTTTTATTGAGATGTTTATCTAAAATACATTTGTGTATATAGAGACATACATATTAAAGTGGACTTCATTTCATTTTAACCACAAGACATGTATTTTGAATATGGAAGTCTAGAATCTATTAAATCTTTACAGACTCATATTTTCTAAGTCACAGCACATGTATTCACAATAATGCAAAACATCAGAGAAAACTGGAACAAAGCAGCCCGTTTTCAGTGATCAAACATCGCCCCCGAAGGCTGTAATGAAAGAGCCACGCACCTTTGAAATCACCTTCTCTATAATGTTGCTGTGCTCAATGAAAATGACACATTGATATCCTTTTATAACTCAGCCCTTGTCTGACAATACTTATAAGTAATGCTATGATCACATAAGAATATCCAAAACAATTGGCTCAAAAGATTTCCTTCCATTTCCCCTCAACAATAAAAATACATGCGGGATGACACTCCATTGCATGGGCTTTCCATCCCTATTCAAATGTCCCAAAGAATTCTAAGTATTCCCTTACCTTCTCATCGGCCCAAGTCCAGAAAGAATCAGCTAATCCTCAGTTCCTTCTAGAAGAGGATCTCACACCTAAAAATTAATTGCCTCGCCTAGGCTCTAAAAGCACTTGTATGTGTATCTCATTATAGCCTTTTTGAGAAGATTGCTATAGACTTTTAGTGGGCTATTATTTCCTGAGTTGATATTACGAATAGTACAAAATGTATTATGAGTTCTTAAAATGGAAACATTGGGTTCACTCTTTATAAACCTCCATAAAAAGCTATAACATGGCTTGTTCACTTACAGGTGACTGTTGTTATTTCTTAATTTTCCTAGATAAGGACAATAAATTACTGCAAATGTAATTGTGGTCCTACATCATCAAACTAAAGCATGTTCAATTCAAGGTTCTGGCATGGGTTGCATTTTCAATTTGTGTGTGTGTGTGTGTGTGTGTGTGTGTGTGTGTGTGTGTGTGTGTGTGTATGCCAGTCCTGGGGATTGAGCTGTACTTCTGGCTTTTCTTGGTAGTTCATTGAAGAATCTCACAGACTTTCCTGCCAAGGCTGGCTTCAAACCTCAGATTTCAGCCTATTAAGTAGCTAAGATTATACATGTCACCCACTTGGTGCCCAACAAATTAGTATTTTTTATTATCAATGATATATCCACATGTCAGATCAGCTAGTTGATCTGTACATAAACTAGATAAAGAATATTGAGGTTAGGGGATTCTCTATGATTTCTACTGATTGAGCTTACCACTTTACAATGATGTTTGGGGTTTTTGTTACTCTAGTTCTTTCACTTTTTTGTACCAATACTACAGTTTGAACTTAAGGTCAAGAGCTATCACATGGATTTTTTTTTTGTTCAAAGCTGGCACTCTAACAGTTGAGCCATACCCCCACTTCTGTATTTGTGTGATTAATTGGAGAGAAGAGTCTCAAAGACTTTCCTGCCAAGGCTAGCCTTTAGTAGCAACCCTCAGATCTAACCTTCATGAGTAGCTAGGTTTATAAGTGTGAGCCACCAGCCATGTTTGTTTGTATATTGCAGGACTTGAAGGAGCTCATGTGATGATGTGAGACAGATGTGTAGAGTTTAGGAATTTATATTTATAAAGTATGTTTCATAATACTGGACAATATAAATAGACCCATATCAGAGTGGGTTGTGGTTAGGGACATACTTTTGCTTCTTATAAATATGTATGTTTAGTCTTTGCTAAAGGATAACACAAATTATCAAGGAATAACCCCAGACAGTAAGCCTTTACAAGTGCAATTGTTTTATTGGAATTATACATATCCCTAGATTTGGTGGTTGGTAAGGTATTAAAGAAACTATTTGAGAAATATGT